GAGCTGGGGATGAACATATCTTTGGTGTTAACTCATTATCATCTAGCGAGTAATATCTATTAGCTATTGCTAGCTCATGCCTGCAAGGAAGTTTCTAAAGACGGACACGATTAATGGTTGACAGAATATGCCCGCCAGCTGCACATTAACCGAGCATTTTAGTTAGGAAAGCATTAACTTGCATTGATTCATTTGATATTTTTGGATTTGCAAAATAATTTCTTTCCACAACATGGCAATTGTTGGAATCTGATTTCCCACTATAAATCCACCATATTCCCCTTTCTTTGATTTCACATCAATCTAACCATCTCTCATCAATCTACAGGTGCATTCTTGCTAGAAAGGGATGAACTGCGAAGGCCATGGCTCTTAGGAAGATGAAGCTTCAGCGGATTGTCATTGATGTGAAGCGGCAGGTGACATTCAAGAAGCGTCTCAATGGCTTGACGAAGAAGGTTAGTGAGTTCGCAACACTATTCCTCATGGTGTACGGTGAGGTTGAAGTGCAAGCAACGAAGGTTTGGCCGTTGGTGTGGAAGGCGACCAGAGTTCTCGAACACTTCAAGGCCATGCCGCAGCTAGACAGATACAAGAAGATGACTGACCTAGAGGACATCCTCAACGAGCAGGTCGACAAGCTCAAAGAGGAGTTGCACAAGGTGGGACGCGATGCTGATGAAAGCGACACCAAGCTAATCCTCGTTGAAGCCCTCAATGGCCACCGCCCGAGCCTCGAGGGGCTCACGATCGAGCAGATTACCAGCCTCGGATTGATGGCAAATGCACACCTCAAGATTGTCAACGACCGCCTCAAGAAGCTCCGTGAGCAAGGCCTCATACCAGCATCCTTGTTATTGTCTGGCACGGAGGTTCCAATCCAGAGGGAGGGATGGCTGATGGATGTTGCAAGGGGCATTGGCTCAATGGGGAACAATCGGTTCGGAGGTACCAGCGGAAGCGGCATTGCTGGATCCAATGGTGACATGGCTTAGCCTTTCAACAGTTTTGCAGGATTCTCACAGGTCAATCAGGAATTTTCAGTCCCACCAGAGTAATGCGAGACTCATTATCATTTGCCTGCCTGGCCAACATGGCAAATGTGGACTTTTTTCTGAGATGATATTTTGCAAGAGAAACCATGGTCAACTATCAATTTTTGAGGGTGTCAATCACTACTTTATTTTCATCCCAACATATCATTCCTTTCTATTTTGTATCCCATCATCCCATTTCCTTTTTTAATGATAATATTCCTCTTCCCTTTTTTAGATCCCTACAAACTAGTCTTGGTTCATGTATTTGTTACATCTGATTACCAGCTTAATGCTTATAAACAAGGAAATTCCTATCTAGAAAACGAGCTACTAGAAAAATAAGATCTGAGTGGATTCAACACAAGAAAAATCTTAAGTGCAAGGTGTTGGCCGATGGCATGAGGCCCTTCGACCAAATCTGCCGAAACCTATGGCGAAGGCTATGGAGCAAGAACAGCGTGAGGCGAAGAGTCATGCAAGTGCCTTGCTAGGCCAGAGGCGTCTTAGGCGAAGGGTGCAAGGCGAAGACTATCTGCCGAAGGAAGACGACTTCGCCTTGGCAAGTTCGCCCCCACGAAGGCCAAAGAAGCCTTTCCGGCCCATCAAGCCTAGGAGCAATAGGGCCGGCGATCGCCAGACGGTCCATCAGGGGCCCATGAGCCCCTATATCATCATGTACCCCTGTAAATGTCCCTTTCATAAGGGTAATCATGTAAATTCCCCTGTATAACCTAAACCCTAGTCGTAAGAACCTGTAATGGGGCTATAAATGGCCCCCTAGGGCCATGTAACGGGGGGATCCCGAGAGAAAATTCAAAATTTAATACACTTCGTTTTTCCAACCACTGTTGAGTAACCACGTCTTTCGACGTATGCGGTTGTCGTTTCGACAACACAAGGAAAATTATTTTTTTGTCGATTCAGCCTGCAGACCATATGAAATAGTTGAAGCAAGAAACTTTGTAAAACTTTAATTTTTCCACAGGATCTCATGCCAGAAGATGAATCTTTTCCCACGATATTTGTTGTCCTAATGAGGCAAACACGTTTTTCCTATCTTTCTTTGCATTGTGCTGGTTTCAAGTGACCAACCACATGTGCGCTATATTTGGAATGCTACCACCCATAATGGACCTGATTAAAGCATTTATGTGGTACAAATGCTTCATATTGCTGATTCATTTTGTGTTTTTTATGAAAGAACATACGGTTTGTTGGGACAAAATATTACCTCAGCGAACATGGCAAGTGCTCCATCGATGGTAGACAAGGAGAGAGCTCAACCTTGAAGACCTGTAGGGAGGAGGCGGGAGCTTGAGGAAGGAAGAGGTGGTAGTGTGGAGAGGATGGGAATGGATCTGCCCCACCTTTTTCCCATTTGGGGGTTTAGGATTTTTTTGAGGTGGTTTGCAGCCATAGGGTTTTGGGGCATTTTAGTCATGGCACACTTACATTTGATGTCATGTTACACATTTTATATAATTCTAAAATATTACCCGGGAATGAAATAATCCCCCAACACACTTAATCCTTGAATTCCATTCAGCTTGGGCCACATTATATTGATTCCTTCCAATTAGCATTCTCCTTTGTCTTTTTTTTAAAAAAAATAGATCTTATATGCCAGGTAAAGTTTTTTATTTTCCGGATGTACCATGGATATTCAATATGCCTTTGCCTTTTTTAATAAAAAATCTCATAGATTTGAACCATGATCCTTGGCCATCTTGTTGTGCCTCCCTCTTCACTATAATAGCTTCTAGGCAGTAACTAAACCACCCATCACCATTTCAAGACATTCGGTTGAGTTTTATCATCTTGTACATACAGGGGCGGAGCCACCGCGCGGCTTGCACGGGCAGCCGCCGGGGCTCGCTGTCAAATACACCATTGAATTTTTATTGTTTTAAAAGGATTAAAGTTAGAAATATTGTAGCAAATACTAGATATATTTAAGTTTGCCCAGGCTTCAAAAATTTCTTGGCACCGCCACTGTGTACATATACTGCAATACCACCAGCATAAAAAGGTGTATTCTACATAGAATGCAAATTATTATTAATTGAAATAATACTAATTCGAAGAAACATTTTCACTTCTATTGATTTTTCTTGAATGTCATTAGCGCCATGTATGAGGAATGTCCTTATCATATCATTTTTATACCAGAACTTTGGTACGGGAGGACCCACACAGCCCCCATCATCATCAGATATCCATGGCTACACAATTAATCCAATTAAAGTTTTTACCAGAACATGGTGCAGGAGTTTGTCCATGTTCCTAGGGAACTTGTGACGAGGAGGATACAAAGTAGTGCCACATCAGCACCGGCGTGGCCAGATTAGCTTTCCTTTTTTTCTCTCCGATCCTTGCCAAGAACTACTCGCCTTGCAAATACAAATTCACTGCTCAGTAGATTTTGGGCCCATTTTATCTACGTCCTCCCCTTCTTCTTCCATGGGTGGCCAGTGCTTGCCCTCTCCTAACTACCAAGCATCAGCCAAGCTCGAGCTCCATACACCAGCTGCCAGCGAGCATTTAGTTAACGTAGAATCGCGTCGCCACACACGTTATGTGCAACCCGCGGCGTGGCACCTAGAGGCGCGCCGCTATAGGGAGCGGGTAGATACTGCTGAACGAACACTCGGGAGGGATCCCTTCAAAGTGAACACACACCGGTTTGTCCTAGACTCGGCATGCTAGTTAGGACGTCCTCTAACACCGTAGAGATGAAAGACGACAAGCAATTGGAGGATTTGAGGACAATAGACTTGGCATATGTAAACAGAAGGAGGGAGATGTAGGATATAGAGGGTTGGGATATTAAATTGATTTTGACGATTGATTGGTTGTTGTTTCAATCGGCCTTTGCTCCATTGTATTTATTGGAGTGGTGGACTTGCTTCCCCGTACCAATTAGAAATCTAAAATCTCATGTCTTACAAAGAAGCCCCAAGAACCAATAAATCGAACTTGGAGTCGGACTCACCTAGTCTTACCGATATAGATGGCCAAAAGGCCCGCCCGGTACGGCCCGGCCCAGGCACGGCCAGGCACGGCCCACCAGCCATCGTGCCGGCACGACCCAATCGGCACTTCGTGCCGGGCCGTGCCGGCCCATGGGTTGCGTCTCCTGCCCAGGCACGGCCCACCGGCCGTCGGGCCGTGCCGGGCCGGCCCGAAGGCGCGGGTGGCCCATCGTGCCTTTTTTAAATAAGTCTATTTTTCGTCCCTCCTCTTTGGGCTGTGACATATATATATATAGCGAAAATAAGTCTATTTTCCGTCCCTCCACTTTGGGCTGTGACATATATATAGTGAAAATAAGTCTAATTTCCCTCCCCCCTCTTTGGGCTGACATATATATAGGTAAAATAAGTCTATTTTACGTCCCTATTCTTTCGACTGTGACAAATAATATGTCTATTTTTACTCCCTATTGTTTATGTGTCGGGCCTGGCCTGTGGCCTATCGTGCCGTGCCGGGCCGGCACAACGTGCCGGTGGAGAGGCCCAGTCACGGCCCGGTGGTTGGGCGGGGCCGGCACGGGCCCGACCCTTGACGGGCCGTGCCGTGCTTGGGCCGGGCCAAAACGCCGTGCCGTGTGCCAGGCCGTCGGGCCTCGGGCCTTTTGGCCATCCACTACTACAAAAATACCTATTAGTGCCGGTTCTTAAGGTCTAATAGGTGTCGGTTTCGGGCCCGACACCTTTTGGTCGGCACCAATGGTCAAAGTCATTGGTGCCGGTTCTGGAACCGGCACCTATAATATTATAGGTGCCCGTTATACACCAAGAACCGACACCTATATTTATTATAGGTGCCGGTTATCAACTAGAACCGACACCTATAGTATTATAACCGGCACCTATAATATTATAGGTGCCGGTTATACACCAAGAACCGACACCTATATTTATTATAGGTGTCGGTTATCAACTAGAACCGACACCTATATTATTATAACCGACTGCTCATGTCACCGAACGGGTTCATCCCATCTGTGCTCAACCCAAACCTTATATTCCTAATCTCCTGCGCAAAATGCTTTTTGTACTTTCTATCTATCTTTCTCCATTGAGATCCGTCGGCAGGGTGTCTTATCATCCCATCCTTCTTACGCTCTTCGTGGTGCCAACGCATCATCTTTGCATGCTTCTTATTTGCAAACATGCGTTCAATCCAAGGGATTATAGGAAAATACCATGCAACCTTAACGGGCACTTTCCTCTTCTTCAGGTCGGGGCCACCACTGTCATCATCAGCATCATCATCGTTATCTCCACCCTTATACCACGGTGTTTTGCAAACTGGACACGTATCCAAGTCTGCATAGTCACCTCGATATAGGACACAATCATTTCGACATGAATGAATTTTTTGCACTTCCAGTCCAAGCGGGCAGACAACCTTCTTCGCTCTGTATGTTGTTTCTGTCAATACATGACCTGCTGGAAGGAGGTCTCCGATCAACTGCAGAAGCTCTGTGAAGCTCTTGTCACTCCATCCGTTGGTTGATTTCAACTGCAGCAATGAGAGGACGACATGTAACTTGGAGTGCTCCTCTTTGCATCCTGGATAAAGCGGAGTTTTTGAGTCCTGCACCATGGACTTGAACTTCTCATATTGCCTTTCATCACTGTAGGCTGTCTCTCCATCACGCAACATCTGATCCAAACCATCTGATTCTTCACTATCATATCCACCTTCGTCGGCAGGCAACTCCGCATTCTCTCCGTCCATTTCATCACCATGATTATGCACATTGTAATTCTCATCTTCACCATGATTGTCCTGACATGCGTAATTACGCATAAAACCCCTTGTTAGGAGATGCTCGTGAACTTGATTTGCAGGAAACTGTCTCTCATTCATGCAAATCAGGCGCATGGACAAAGCAAGTGTTCTGTCCTGCTCAACGATCTAGAAATATGTTGCCCCGATCACGAAGTTGGTTACTCTCTTTGGATATTCCCAACGAATCGCGCTTCACAACATTCATCCCTCCTTCATCCATTGGCCCTACGAAAATTCGAAAATTTACCGCTACCATCATATATCAATTAAATCCGTAGATCAATCAAGTATCATGAGAACTAATCTTTTATATCTCAAATGCTCGATGATTTAATACCCTAGACATTACTCAAATTGAAAATTAACACGCAAAACGGACCGGAAAATACGCACCATTTAGTACTTTGGAAAGCGTGCGTGCGGAAAATGAGAGATGCTTTTGAAATTTTTGGGCAAAACCTCCCCCCACCCTCCTTTTGGATGAGCAAGAAGAAGACCTCAAATCATGAGCTAGTGTGGTGGGGGGAAGAAAACAACCTAAGTCATCATGCTTTCTCAAATCAACATCTCAAAACAAATAGATGCAAAAAAAAAAATATAGCTAGCACTACCATGTACATTACAAATCTCTTAATATTTTTGAGGAAAAAATACATCAAGAATCACACAAATAAAGAAAAATTACGTAGAGAATCAAGATAAACTAACCGTTAAGCATACAAAGACATAGATCTCTTGATGCTTTTGAAATTTTTGGGCAAACCCCCCCCCCCCCTCGTTTTGGATGAGCAAGAAGAAGACCTCAAATCGTGAGCTAGTGTGGTGGGGGTATATATAAGCTGCAGGCTAATAGGTGCCGGTTCTTGTTAAAAACCAACACATATATAAAAAACCGACACCTATACTTTGTGTCATATAGGTCGGGGAGGATTATAAGTGCCGGTTTTTAACAAGAACTGGCATCTATAATCCTCCCCGACCTATATGTTTGCAAACCAGCACCTATAGGTGTTATTTGTGCCGGTTTTTGAAACCTTATTGGTGTCGGTTTTAATTAATAACCGGCACATTTTATATAGGTGCCGGTTTTTTTACATGGCCGCCACCTATTAAATGTTTGGACCGTTGGCGGGAGGATTTTTAGTGCCGGTTCCAATGTTCCTCCCAACTAAAACCGGCCCCAATTAACCGTTATAGTTGCCGGTTTTTAGCTAACCGTCACCTTTATGGCCGACACCTATGGGTGTTTTTGTAGTAGTGATCTATACTGACTGACCCCCATGCCGCCTGTCAGACCAGCCCCATAGCTGCGATCCAACCGGCCTAGCGTGGCAATTCTGAGTTTTTTAAAAATTTAACTATAGTTTTCTATTTCATACTTTAGGAGCTAAATGTGCGTATTAATATGTCCAAGTGCTGCAAATCCAGCGATAGCTGCCGGAGTGGCCGCCGAGCTGTAGATGGAGCTGCCGTCGGTGCCGCAGCACCTTTTTCTCCACTCAATCATGTGTCCGCCGTTGTCCAGATCCATGTTTCTCGTTTCATTAGTTTTTCCACTCTCTTTCTTTTCTTATCTTGTGTGTCCCAAGCGCAAGCTCCGGCAGCTCGTGAACAGCAAATGGTCGCATCCCCTACACCTCCAATGTATGCGCCACAGCATGGAGGTTGTCTGGTAATTTTGATGCAGAACAAATCAACTAACACATGGTTGTATATATGACAGATCCAGGTAACTGTTAATTGAACTTAGATCGTAATGTTCTTTTAGTCAAACAATTGCATGCTAATTTCAATTTCTTTCATTTGTGCTCATTCACGAATATATCTTGATTCATAAATGCTATTTGGGTCTGATTTTGAAGGGCAATCGGCAGGAAGCATCGGAAAACAAAACCTTACTGCACTCCCTCCATTGTTGCAGCAAACTAGTACTACCTCCATTTTAAAATGTATGACGCCGTTGATTTTTTATCCAACATTTGACCATTCGTCTTATTCAAAAAATTTATGTAATTATCATTTATTTTATTATGACTTGATTCGTCATCAAATATTCTTTGAGCATGACATAAATATTTTCATATTTACACAAAAATTTTGAATGAAACGAATGGCAAACGTTGATCAAAAAGTCAACGGCGTCATACATTAAAATATGGAGGGAATACTATTCAGTGGTTACATTCCTCAAGAAATTGTGCTATTTTTTTTTCAATTTTGTTTCGTTCTGTGGAATGATAGCCTCAATTTGGTAGCATATTTTAGCCCTAGAGTTATCTTGATGATCCCTAGTGTATTTCGCCCTAGAAAATCTGTTGAATTCACCGTGTATGAGGAATGTCCTCTTCATATCAATTTCTTTACCAGAACTTAGTAGGGGAAGCCCCAAACCTCCCACCATCATCATATATCCATGGGTACACAATTAATCCAACAAAGTCTACTTAGGTAAACAATCCAATAAAAGTAAAGTTGATTCAAGAGTAAATTGCGCTGGTGATACACAAACTTGTCAGATGGGTGCAATATAATGCACGAATTTAAGACAGTTGTTTTGGAGCACAAACTTGTCTACATGCTTAATCTTATTGATTTAGGTGCCAACTAGGATAATATGTAAGTATATATATCATAAGGATGCTATTTAGACATACATGTGTTCAATGAAAACATGAGAAAAAAATTGAAGAAATGCCATTAACAAGCATCGAGTTCTATGAAATATCATCATACAAGTAACTTTATCTCAGAAGTGCCATTGCTATTAGGGTTCCGTTAGCAGCCCTTCATTAAGTGATATAAGATGAACCGTCCATTTAACGGGTGGGTTGGATAGAACCCTAACGGTAATGGCATTTATGTGATAAGTCGTTCACATCATAGCATTTTATGAAACTCACACTTGTCGATGATATTTATTATAATTTGGCGTTTGTAAATGGTATTTTTTGGATTTTTTTTCTTCAAAAGATAGAAATGAAGCAATACTGATTGTACAGAAAGACATTAAAAACCAAGCTATGATGAAGGAAAGTAAAGACCATGTTTGTAAATATAGCATGTCCTATGTGTACTCACTACGCATGTCTTGTACTGATTAACATTAACTGTGTAAAATTAACCTTTCCATTTTCATCCAAGCTCATATGAATTAAACAAATTCGTACCCCAAAACGACACTATTACATAAATTTAGATTGGTGCTGGTTGGGAACCTGGACGTAGGTGCAAAATTTCCTAACCGGCACCTAGAAGGCGGTATAACTAAGAGAAATCAAAGGTGCCGAAAGCCGAATTTAGAACCGGCACCTTTAAGATCCTAAGAATCAAGGAAAAAATAGCTCAACTGGTTCCCCTTCATCCCGATTGAATCAAAGAATTAATAGGCATCCAAGAACTTGAGAATATCAACACTAACATAAAGAATGCGCCGCCGTCGACGGGCAAGGGAGGTCACCGCCGCCACGGAGCTAGCCACCGCTGGGCCAATAGAGAGAGAGAAGCGCGCGCAAGAGAGAGAGGGACGGGAGCGCGAGAGAAATTAAGAGGGGACCGGGAGAGACCGAGCCCTTCTCTAGGCCTTATCCGTTTGAGACCACCGGTTGGCTCGGCTCGGTTTTTACAGGTGCCAGTTTTTTAAAATCAATTTTCACATACAAATGCGTTAAACACCCGACTGTAATAAACGGTTTTTATAGGTAGATTCTTAAGTTGATTGTCCAACAAAATGAGACAGTTGTCTTAATTAAGTTCACCTTCTCTTAGAAATTGATTTTCACAAGTGGAGTACACCCGGTGGCATCCAGCTTGCACCTGATCTACAGGGTCGCAGTGTCATGTGTGCTCCTCCCAGCGAATTCGCAAGAGGATCATCGTATCAGAGACAAGACCAACGCCATCTTCCTGGGCTTCTGGGCTGCGCGGCCCATTCAGCGAGCTGGGCCACCATCGCGCCCATGTGATCGAACCATCCGGCCCACGAACAGCCCGGGAGCACTCCGACGTCCTCGTCGTCGTCTTCCCCATCCCGGCGTGAGCACGACGGCGACGTCGCCGACCAGCCGGCGTGGCACGTCATCACCAAGGCTCTGACGAGACCGTCCGGGCTTCTGACGCAGCAATTCTGTCGTGGTTTGTCCAACGCCGGGAACGTCGGCGGCCAGACCGTCGTCATCGGGAACACCCTCACCGGCCGCTGGCGGTCACCGCCGCCGCCGCCGCCATCGTCGGCGTCGGGGAGTTTCCTCTCGTAGACCTTCTTCACCGTCCTCCACCGCAGGTGCACGTAGATCACGACGCCGACCTTCTCCAAGTCCAGCAGCGCGAACTCGGCGTTGTCGCCGACGGCGATCACCGCGACACGGCCGGTCCACCAGCCGTCGGGAAGCCACTCGACCCGCTCGCACGCCTCGCGCACGCAGAACGTGTCGGCGAGCCGCCACCCAACTCCGGCCGCGCCGCCGTCGTCCTCCATGGTCGTCGTTTTCCGGTGCCAGATGCTGAGCCGTGTCCCATCGCCGTGGACGAGGCAGAGCCGGCCGCGAGCGAAGTCGTCGTCGTCGGCGGCGGCGGCGTATGACCATGCCATCCTGAAGTTGGCGGATGATCTCGCCGCGTCCGGGAGCTCGACGACGGAGAAGCGCGTGGTGCCCAGACGCAAACCTAGCGTGTAGCCGGAGGTTGTCACGACGTAGACCTCGCCGTTGATCGGCGGCAGAACGGTCTCCACGGCGTCGTCGCACGACGGCGCCGGGAGCTCCGTCTCCGCCGTGGTTGGCGCTCCCCACGCGCCGCCGGAGTCCAGAACGTGCACTCGCGCGGTCACTCTCCGCTCGACCAGCAACACGTACACCAGGGTGATGCCATGGTCGCCGCCGGCGCCGCCGCCGTCCTCGGGCAGGAACACGCGTTCGACGACGTGCTTCCCGGCGCCGCCGCCTGGCGGCGGCGGCAGCGGAGGGAGGAGCTGCACGGATTCCCGCGGGTGCGGCGGCCGGAGCACAGTGTAGCGGTATGGCGTGTTGATGCCAAGCCGCCGCGGCGCTCGGTCGGTGGACTCGACGAGGAGACGGCCGTCGCGGCAGTCGGCGATGGATGGACGGTGGTAGCCGGCGAGGTGGCCGAACGCGCCGAAGTACCCATGCCTCGTCCGGTGGGCGGCGGCGGCGGCGACGCCCGGATGCTGCGGGAGTGCCTTGAACTGCGGCCGCCGCCCGACGTCGCCGCCGCCGTCGTCGACGCAGAAGCCTAGGAGGCGCGGCGGGTGGATGACTCGGAAGCGGCGGAGGAAGAGGTCGCCGGAGGCGACGCGGAGCCAGTGCTTGCAGACGATCGCGGCGGCGATGAGGTGTTCGTGGGACTCGAGGCGGAGGAGGATCTCGCCGAGGAGGTCCTCGTCGGAGAGCACGGCGCTCGCCGGCGACGGCGGCGGTGCGAGCTGCGGCCATCTTTCACTCTCTTCTTCCCCTTCCATATTTCTTGTGAGTTTCAGGCTTTCTGTGCATGCATGGATCAGTGTTTCAGTGCACACTGCAAATACCCACATATATATACCACCCTCAGCATGAGTAGCATGTGAAATAATTCAAATTTGAATGGTTCTTTTCCGGTATAAACATTTCCAAATTGTTGTCCTACTCAAATGAAACATGTACAAAACCTTATATATTAAGGCATGAATTAATGGTTGTATCAGGATAATGCATGGTTTTGAACGGATTTTTGCTTTGGATAAAGCCACTTTGTCAGTGTATCTATTAACAAGGAATTGGAATGGTGCCATGTGAATCTATGTTGTTTTCTAGCTGTACATGGATGCATATGCTTTAATATGGCCTCTTCTAGAGTGCCAAACTGGTGCCATGGATATTATGTATGTAAAGACTGTACGATGTCGATATGCAGCATGTTGACCGAGAATATTGTATTAGCAAAAGACTGATATATACACTACTTGCTAGTAGTATGAAGTCCGGTTAGTTGTCCATGTACTTTTTATTAGTTTACTAACACAAATTAGCATATTTGCCACGTTGGCTGATCATCCCTGACATTCTCGACGGTTGGCATATGCACCAATGATGCTACTGAAATTCTGTCCGGACTACCGGCTGACGCGTGCAACGACCTAGTCAAATGATGTAATCAGTACAGTAGCAACGCAAGACGACCTACTGCAAGCAGCGGTAGCTAGCTGGTGACTGCCTAATCATGTGAGGAAGGGCTTTTAGGATTGTTAGATTGATTTCATTTCAAACTATACTATTTTTTTTAGTAAAATTGCTAAATACATACATCTATTTAGTTTTTTTTTTACCAAAACTCTGGTAAAAACATAAAAAATCTTGTCAATCTCGTTCAAACTTTGATAAGGTTATTTTGGCTACAATCTGAACATGACATTTATAACCTTCAATGAAGTGAAGACCCATGAAAACATGAATTAAAAAATTACAAATTCTGAAAAAAGCATAGATTTTAGGTGAAAAGTACAGGCTGTCACTTTAGTTCCTTCTAAAATTGAATTTGATTTTAGGCTTAAGATTGGATGGAAATATATTTCATGGCTATACAGTGGCGGATCTAGAAAATTGATTCGTTGGTGTCATAACGTGTCTATCGGTGTCATAGTATACTAATTATGTTTAGATCATGGTGTTATAACTTATGGATAAGCAGTTTTGCTATACGTTTTGTCGAAAGTCGTCGGTGTCACCTGACACCGGCGCTATTACTGTAGCTCCGCCCCTGTGGCTATACCAAACTCTAGTGTATTTTTTCATTAATTTATATATAAACCTTTTAAATATGATTTTCACAAATTTTTACTTACTCGACGGTGTTTACCACATATATTTCCCCCCTTTTATACATTTATACGATTCTTTGCTTGCTGGAGAACTTGATTTTCCAAACCATTGGGGATTAATTAGTGAATCACTTTACTTATTTCAACCGTCCTCAAAACAAGAGTTCCACGGGTTCAGAAACCTCTGGTTGTCCGAAATTCCCCACTGCTGCCACCCGTATCATTTAAGGTGTCATTTTATCAAAGGTAGTCACCCTAGCAACAGATAATGCCAATACTTTATCATCATGAACACATAAGAAAGTTCAGGCAACCGTTCGTATCCACGTGCTTAGTGGTACATATACCAGCCTTGATGTATGTTTATGATTAGCAGCTTGCCCAAGCTGACTTGCATGAACAACTAGATAGTTTCGTATCACCTTTCTTCATAGTCAAATGACTCATGCTTACCTGCTGCGCCTCGCGGTATGAGCTACGTACGTAGATGTAGGTGGCGAGACGCTTTGCACAATGCTCCTGAACTCATCTCAAATCTGTTCTTTGGATCTCCAAAGCTCGCAGTAATGCCCTGCTTACTTGCATATTTGTTCCCTGTTGCCTACCAAACCTAAAAATAAACAAACAATCGGTTTGCATGTAGTTCTGACAAATGGGAAACTGGATGTGACCCATTCAACAGTATTTCTTACACAGCAATGCGATCCTTTTCTATTCGATCCTTTTCTATTCAAACCAAAGGATATTGGTTTGATCTGAACTTTCTTTTGTACAAGCTGGATACAACGATTGGCAAGGCCGTGTATCAGATGGTATTGGCTGGTTGAACCGATCACCACTTGGTTCCCTTTTGTAGCCAAGAGTTGGTACATACACAACATATAGATGTATACCCATGTACTCACATAGTATATATATATATATATTATGGCTGGCAGGATTTCTTTTGTTTTTATGATGGACCTGTTGGATTCATTCTGTGGCTGAGACTTCTCAAGTCGTACATTTGTGACAACGAGCAGATGAAAATTGATGATAATAAATAATTATTTTTTTAGCAAAGGGCAAAATCCCTCCATTTCCATTAAGAGAAATGACAGGGATTACAAGATAAAGAACACAGGGAGTACGTTCTTGCACTCCAAGTTCATAGTATAACAAAAGACATCTTGCCGCAAAACACATCTAAAGAGTGGCAGTTAACAAAAAATAAAAATAAAAAACATCCATCGGCTACTTCCAGGAAGAAAAGGCGCCATTCCATTTTCAGTTGCCAGGGGAGTCTTCTGATACTTGCTCGCCATCCATATTGTGACTTGAACATCTCACTTGTGACTTGCTTTAGCGGCTGGATTCCCCACCGTAGTCGTTCTTGTTTTTCCACCGGTTTCTGCAAAACAGCCTAGTCATTCATCCATGAGCGAGCCCTATATAAGATGTCAGTAGGATCCTGTGGTAGAATCTGTTCAAAGCACACCTTGTTTCTTGCTTTCCAAGTGGACCACAGAACTGCTGCCACCGCCACTAGCAATAGTTGTTTTGTAACTTTATCACAATTCTGAGTCCAAGCACCCAAGGTGTGTTGTACATTCTTCATAGGTTTCAGATCAAAAGCACAGGACACCACATTCCAAGTAAATCTTGTCATGGGCCAATCAAAGAACAAATGTTGTATTGCCTCTTTTTTGTCACAAAACTGACAAGTTTCATTTCCTTTTCTCCACCCTCTTTTCTTCAGGTAATTTTTAGTTAGCACGCTGTTCCTTATCAGTAACCACAAAAAAATCCTGATTGTTAGAGGTACTTTGATGTGCCAGATTTTTTTATGTATCTCCCCTATCATTGAACTTGCCTCCTGCATTTTCATAGCTGTGTAGAAAGATTTGATACTAAAAACTCCATTTTTGGTCAAGCCCCAAATTATTTCATCCTTTATATTGTCATAATATTTTTTTTATGTTATTCCAGTCCAACAACTTGTTACCTGACAAAATTCTCCTGAAAGTTATGCTCCCCCATCCTTCCTCATCCTTTTCGTTTTACCTGGCCAGTGTTATCTGCTGTGTGTGTCTGTGATTCTATATAAGTGTGGACATTTTTGTGACAAAGGTTCCCCCCCCCCTCCTCCCCCCAACAAATACAACTGTCTTCCCAAAATAATATGTTTGCCCCATTTACTGGCTTTTTCCAGCAATAGGTAGACATCTATGAGCCCATGAGCCCAGGTTCATGATAGTACAGATTCCACCACTGCCACATAAAGACATATAAGATGGGTCATCTGTAATAGCTCATAAAGGAGCCCATGAATATGTAGATGCAGGGAATGACCCATAAATATGAGGTACTCCCTCCGTTTCACAAGCTAATTCATTTTAACATTTCTTACATTCATATTGATGTTAATGAATTTAGACATACATCAATATGAATGTGGGAAATGCTAGAATGACTTATATTATGAAACGGAGGAAGTAATATGCAACATGTCATAGCAATCGTATGAACCGTACACAGGTCATATATAACAAGATGCAATACGCCATTTGACTTATGAAAAGGTACGTAGCTTAGTGATTGTATTGACCTAAGTAGTACCCAAGGTTCTGAGTTCAAATCTCCGTATGATTGAATTTTAGATTGGCTTATTTGCGGGGCTAAGTTCCTAATTTAAATGGCCGCATATATCCGGTTGGATGTAGAAGCTAGGTAAAAAATACTCTTCTCTAAACAAAATCTCTTTGCCTTTTTAGGTTGGCATACGTGAGATGCCTCGACTTCCTCAATATTCTACATCTTCCTCCTATTTGTTCCGATGTATCCCATGTTTATTCACCCTTCAATGCTCGATCTCTCTGGTCTCTAAGGTATTTGAGGATGTCCTACTTGACCTGTCGAATCTAGAATTAACCGATGAACGTTCACCCTGATGGAGTGATGGGTCCCTCCTAGTTCATCGTTCAGTGAGATCTTGCCTTGTTATGGCGTGTCTCCGAGTGCCGCCACTAGTCACATATAACATAATCAAGGTGTGGTAATACAATTTGGTGCCAACACGGCAACATGGTAAAGGCCATTTCTGCATTTGAGGATGTTCTACTTAACCTGTCGAATCTAGAATTAACCGATGAACGTTCACCCTGATGGAGTGATGGGTCCCTCCTAGGTCATCGTTCAGTGAGATCTTGTCTTGTTACGGCGTGTCTCCGAGTGCCGCCACTGGTCACATATAACATAATCAAGGTGTGGTAATACAATTTGGTGCCAACATAGCAACATGGTAAAGGCCATTTCTCGAGCTACCAGTGACAGTTGCATCGTGTCCAATGGTACTGAACGGTTGTAACTGGCATCACTTCAGTTTTCTCTCTTACACAGTTTGATGCATTTCTTAAGAGAAAATCATCAGATGATGTATTGTTTCGGGTGAATAGCTAATATGGTCCCTGAAGTTTCGTTGCGGGCTTAGTTTAGTCCTTGAGGTTTTAAATCGTCCAAACAAGTCCTCCAAATTAATCATTTGGGCTAATATAGTCTTTGGACCCACAAAAAATACCACGTAAACATGCCAAAGTCGTCTCGCATGCAGCGGTATGAATAAAATGATCATTCTACCCTTATATACCATATAGAAAAGAAAATACAAAAAAAAAAGACCAACCCAG